AGGTAGCTGCTGAGCCACTGCAAATAGCACGCTGGTCAAGATAAGCCCTTGTTCTGATCTTCATGCACGTGCAACCAAACATAAAGATGTTTCTACACAGTGCACAGCACCTTAAATGCTGGACATTAGCTGATGAACAGTCTTCTTAAAGGCTGCCAGTGTTCTATGTGACAGTCTTGCCTGTGGCAGCCAATGCTCTAGCCCTTGAAGTGTGTTTAGAGCATATGTTGCTGGCATTATATGTGTTATTGGTACATATCTCTATAGTTAGGATCTTAGTAAAAAATAGGATGATCTTGATACTGGTACCTACTTAAAATCTCTAGAGGTTAAGTTGCTTACAGAGCATTTTTGTGCTGAAGGAAAGTTATATCAATTGCATGAAAAAAAAGAGAAGACAGGCAGTCTGATAGATGTTATGTGGAAGAGCTGAAATAGAACACCGTCATTACCTAAAACCCCAAGCAAATTGTAGTGCAGTCCTTACCACAGTTACATCATCCTTACCAGGACAGTTGATCTGTATTTCAGAGAAGGAAGTTTTGTTATGATCAATGTTAAAGTTTGTAAAGGTTTTATTTGTGCTTAAATCATTTTTTAAAAACTGGCAGACAGACATGGAAGGAGATAAAGAATAAAATAACACCAATAATGGCTACATAATAAAACTTGAAGTTTAGGGGAAGGAATCTAGATATAAACTTCAACGAAGGATGGCCAAATGTCGAGGTAAGTTATCAAATGCAATTGCCTGCTGTGTGACACACATCTAAATTCTGAAAGAATTACAAAGTTCTCAGTCCATCAGTTAGCAGAGAATGGGACTTTATTTTTATAATGTTGCAGTATCAATCAGATAGCTACCATAAGGGCATAAAGAATTCATTTCCATTGACCATTGGTTAATTTGGTTAGATGGTTAGTTTCCCAAAATAATGACATCTTCAAAAATTGCTTCAATACAAATGTAACATGCATAGTAACGTTCCCCCAGAAAGAAGCTATGAATGTCTGTAACCAAAGATAAGCTTAAGAGATACTCCAAGTGCATTACATCACCAATAATAAACAGATTTACCCAACCCTTTGCTGAATATTATTTTGGTGTCCAGTATACATGAAAGAATAAACGGCAACTTTAGATATATAGATATAGTGTGTATAGAAGCAAAAGGCACTATCTACTGATAAACAAAAAAAAGTTAAAGTTCTTTATTACACTCTCCCACAACCTTGTATCCCATACTTACTGACCAGCAGTGCATTGTGATACTTCTATATCAATTTTGCAGGCTGCTTTTCTTGAACTGACTCAATAAGTATGTCCAGAAGTGGGGAAGATATTTAGGCACTCAAGCATGCATGGGAGAGGTCAGTTAATGCTGTAAATGAGGATATTGGCATTTAGAGAATTTGATAAATTGTGTTTAGCCCTCAGCCTCAGATATGGGAAAATGTTACATTTTGGACAATCAGTTGGTCTGAAATAAAAAAAATCTGTAGATCCATATAATCCACAAGAAATGCTTCTTCCCAATTTTCAATTCCAGATTGTCCTATGAGGTTAATTTAGCATATGAAAGTGGATCAAATTGTAGTTGTCATGGTATGATACATTAGATATTCGTAACTGCAAAAACTAGGAGGAGTAAAACATGCTGCAACATGTTTAGATACCAAACTTCTCCGTTCTAGAAAGAGGCCAAAAAGCAGAAGATACTGAAACAACTCAGGATGGAAATTTTGAGAAGGTGAAAACATCTGATTAATACATGTTAACAAGAAAACCTGGGTGGTGATGTAGATTTAGATTAGGGAAGTAAATCCCAAGGGCAAAATGGATCCCTAGGGAGCCTTGGAGTCTAAAATGGCTGTAGAGAAAGCTTTTAGTGTAAGGTATAGGCTTCAGTTTCTTGATTTGGGTTATGCCTGGTGCAAAGTTATGCAATAAGTTTTTGTCCTCTCTTTGGAAGCATGCTTGAAGATTGCTGCAAATTGGAAGGAAATTGTGATTTAATCTTCTATACATGGTGAAATAGAATTTGACATGTTGCCCTAATGGAAAAATTAATGCACCTGATTAGCTCAATCAAATAACGGCATAGTCAAAATCATGGCACCAGACCTCCCACCAGTCCTGTGATCCCGATGGCTTCCCAACAATGGAAGACATTCCAAAGAAGCCTTGGGGTCTTTGGGTGGGAGACTGGAAATCTTTTCGTTCTGAAAAATCACTGTGTCTGATATTGTCAGCCTTCAGCAGTGTACCTTATGGAAAGGGATTTCAGTAATTATATATTAGTACTTCTCAAAGTTTTGGATATAGGTGAAACCAGTAGGTTTGTTTCTTGATATAACTCTGAGCATATTTTCCTTTCCATCTCTAAAGATATCAAAGTCTATGTGTGTATACACACACACACACACACACACACGGGCTTATCCTTTATGTAAATGTATTTATCATAATCTTAGAACTGCGCAGCTGGAAGGGACCCTTTGAATCATCATGTCCAACCCTTATCAAGGAGGCACAGTGGGAAATCGAACGTTTCAGCTCTGGCTCTGCTGCTAGATACTTGAACCACTAAGGTATCCAATATCTTGCATTCTGATCTAGAGCAAAGTTGTAATGCATTGTTTACCACACCTTCTGTAAAGCAGCTGAAACAACACATTACAAGGTTTATTTGCTTGCTAATAACCTGGCTGACATTTGGTATTCCGTCAATACGCATATAACAAAAATAAATATCAGCATTCCTGCATGGAGAGGAGGATAGGTCCATATAACATTGGCCAGGTCAGGAGAGCATGGGAGCTGAGACCTGTTGCGACTGGCTAGCTGACTGCTTTCTCTGCTGTTGCAGAACTTTGTCCTGCTTTGCACTGTCTCTCTGCAGGACGAGGCCCTTCCAAAGCTGTGAGTAACCTGTTTTGTACCACCTATTTAGCAGAGAAGTAGATAAAAAAGGTGCTGCATGAGCGAGATATTTAGAAGTGTCACTGGTAGGGTACACAAAGATTAGGGTCAGTCAACCTGTTTAAGAGAGGAGAGGAGGAACAGGCTGAATGTCCTTGTCCATTGCCAGTCTGATGTTGTTGCTGGGATCCTTGCCTGCTGGGGAGGGATGTGTTTTCAGAAGTGACCACTGCAGCCATAGAAGGTGACAGAAGATACAGAGGAGGGAGGCACCAGTACTATAGTGGGAGAGGTAGAAGTGAATACTGAACACAGTAGGAAAAGTGGATGCTTTCTATCCTCTGCCTCCTCAAGGTGATAACTACAAAATATGAGTACTGTACATCTCTCTTATAAACTTATCATACATCTCCTGGCAGTGAATGGGTAGAACTCTCTTTTGTCTGACTTGGATCTTCCACCATTCAGATCAGTCAGATGACTCTTCATTCTAGCGAGCATTAAGGCCAGTGGCAACTCTGGTTGTTGGGCCGGAAAGAAAACAAGACTGGGTGACAGGTAGAGCAAAGGGCTAAAATTTTCTATAGGGAGAAAGGTGGCATATAAATAATTTAAATAAATAAAAATAAAATAACTGATGCATACATACTCACAAACCATAAGCAGGTATCCATACATACACACAACAGGAAAGGAACCGTGACAAGGCCCTGCTCTGATAAGGAAGCCGAAGGATTGGGATAGCTGAGCATAGCCTGAGTCTGACCTGGGGCCACATCCCCTTTGCCCTAATGGACCAGCCTTCTCTGGTTGGGGCCTAAATATAGCTAAGGTAGACCTACTGATTGGACTGCTGGACAACAGGACAAGATTTGTTCAAGTCCCATTGATTCAAAGGGGCTGGTCTAGGTAAAGTGGCAACCAGATTTAGGCTTAGGTGAGTGCTGGTTCTGCTCTGTCTTGTTTTGCAACTCGGTATTCTTTCTAGAACGGCTTCAGATAGCAAAGTCTAGCAAAATGAATGTAAAATGTCAAAGGCAAGAAACACATTTCATTGAGATTGGGGAGATAGGCAAAAAACAGCATATAGGAGCACAGAGAAATAGGTAATAGCCAGATGCCAGAGAACCCCCTAAACAGTGCAAGGAAATAGTGGGATGGGGTTAGGGAGGCAGAGGAAAATCAGAGATACCGTATGTTTGATTTTAATATTGACAATGCAGTAGTTAAAATTGCCTATTGCTCAACAGGAGGGGGAAATAGTGACAAAAGTAGTTGGTAGGCCTGGGCCTGTCCTGACTTTTTGGTATCTTTATTTCGAAGCATGATTATCAGGGGTGTATTTTCCCTACATGGAAGTACATGTGCAGTGAGATAAATGTCACAGATCTGTTTGCAGAGCCAAATTTAACCGAAGGGCTCCAAGCAAAGTTATGTAAAAGCCCTGGTATTTGAATAGATATGTGTAATAATCTTTTGGATAATTTGTCAAAAAGATGGATGCTAGAAAACTGGTTGAGAGACCTTTAAAGATTCTCCAAATGGTGAAATCCCAAAGCTTTCCGTTTTATTCATAAAGGACACAAAAATAAAACCACGAATTCAACGTGTTGCTGACAGTTGCACAGAGTAAGGCTGAAAAGAATCCCATGTTTTCTTTTTCGCAAACCGGAAGAAATCAACCCTTTGGGACAAAGCTTATAAGTATTCGGTGTTAGTTGATGCCCCCCCGTCACCCGTGTTTGCGCTTTCTTTCCCGGTCAAACTATACGAGGGGGGAGCGGGAACAGACTTTTGGCCTTACGTTCGCTTCAGAAAACATATGCGATAAGCAGTAACGCTCGATAAAGGTTAGGAATCGTCTCTTTGCGAGTGTGACACCCCCAGCAAACATCTCCTTTCCTCCGTCCGTACTGTATTTCCACAATTCATCACAGCACGCTTCGCTTCCTTCTGTGCCTCAGTTTCCGCTACTGCGGCTTGCCGTGTTTCAAGAGCCCTGTCACTTCTCAAACTACACCTCCCAGCATGCTGTCCAACTCCTCCTCAGCGCTTCCTGTGGCGTCTCTAGGGACCTGTAGTCCTCTCGCCATCGTGAATGCGCCAAAAAGGAATCAAGGCTGGAGCACTACAGTTCCCACAAGGCGCTCGTCCCCCGCTTTCCTTTTCTCCACCGAGCCGGTCACCTTCCTGTCTGAGGAGAGGCGGAGAGAGGGGGGGGGAAATAATAACCCTGAAGTTCCCTGCGATCAGCTGATGAATACAACAAGGGGGGAGCAGGAAGAGAAAAGCCCTGGCACTGGTCTGCCTGCCTCCCGCGAGGGTACCCGGGCTTCATGGTGGGGCTCAGACGTTACGGGATTGAAACCCTGTTCCTGCGGGGAAAAGGAAGGCTTCGCCCCTTCCTTCCGCCCCGTGATCCTTGCGGCTGAAGAGGAGGAGACTGTGATCTGATTACTTAGTCACCGAGACTTGCAGGGAGGAGGAAGAGGAGGAGGAGGAAGGTGCCTGCTGTTTTGTAAACAATAGATCGAGCTCTTTGGGGGTGGGGGGGGTTGCTTTGTTCCGAGTCATGGTTTGTCCTCTTGTTTATTCCCATTTCTCTCCCCTGCCTCGCACAGTTTTGTTTATGCGAAGATTTACTACTTCCTAAGAAATCGTCTTGAGTGATATTTTCGTTTTGTGGCTTAAACCAACGTAAGCAAGTAACCCGTTAAGTTTTTTTTTTTTTGTTTGGATTATATTGACATGCAGATATTTATTATGTTTTTTAAGTTGAGTCACAAGTTACAGTAAAGTTGGCCTGTTTTTGATATTTCACTGGTCGAATAAAGCTAAATGCCCACGGTCTTTGGAAGTTACAGGAAGAAGCATTCTTACTGTAACTCCTGGCCACTGCTCATGCTACTTTTAAACGGTTCCTTGAAAGAATTTTATGTTGTTGGTTTGATTTAAGGTAAGTGATATGTCAGTGCAGTAAACAAATGGCTGTCAGTTTGTAGAACTGAAAAACGTGATTTGACATGATTTGCACTGATCAGATTTGTTTATACATTTTATTGTTATAAAGACTGTGGTTCTATAAATGTTTAGGCATCACATCCTGTATTTGTATAGTTCTATGAATGTGTACTGGAGTAAGTGCTGTTGATCATGTACAAAAGGATGCTTATAAGTATTTAAAATAAGCTGGACTTACTTTTCAGTAAATAAGCATACAGTGATGCCACATACAAATTACTTTGGAAAGGCTTCGCTGACTAGTTTGTGTGAGGGTCTCAAAATAGGTTTTCAGGCATATTTGCTGCTAGGATAGACATATTATGTGACATGTAGAATAAACAAAAATTTTGTATTTTGAGGAAGGAGTCAAATATGGGAAAAATTGAAATATTTTCTAAATTTATCTATATTCTTTCCAGAATTTTATATACTTACTAATGTTTTTTTCCTTTATTCCACATCTCTTTTAGGTGTATCAGGGAAACAATTTGGTTTACATTTTGGGAACATATCTGATCACTTTTCTTACATATATCGAAGTTCATTGGGATTTTCTCTTCAGGATTCCTTTGAGCCTGTGTTCAATTGTGGAAAGCTTACATTTCTTACAAGGACAGATATACACAGAAATTGCAATTTTGCATATAATGAAATCATTTTCATTGTGGGGTAGTGAAAATTAAGACTGATCATACATTAAGAAAAGCACCAACCTTTGCAGAGTTTCCTCCACATCAAGATAATTACAGTTTTTAGATCTTTGGAAAACTAATGTACATATCTGTTAAAAAACAGAGTTTAATAAAGTTCATGGTAAGTTGCTAACATGAGTGCCCAGCCTCCAACAGCAGATAAGGGACTGAATACAGCCCTCTTGTGCCAAGAAAGCTATGCTTGCAGTGGGACAGATGAAGCAACCTTTGAGTGTGATGAGTGTGGAAGCCTGCAGTGCCAGCGATGTGAAGAGGAGCTGCACAGACAGGAAAGGCTACGAAATCATGAACGGACCCGAATTAAAGCTGGCCATGTCCCTTACTGTGACACCTGCAAGCCTCCCAGTGGGAATATCATGCAAAACCACATTGGAAGTTCCAGGCAGAGGGCAGCAGTAAGGTGCCAAGCATGCAAAATTAACCTGTGTATAGAGTGTCAGAAGAGGACTCATGCTGGTGGAAACAAGAGGAAGCACCCCATCACCGTTTACCATGGTGGAAAACCTCACGAGCAGGAAGAGGAGGAGGGGATGGATGAGGAAACCAAGAGGAAAAAGATGACTGAAAATGTTGTGAGTTTCCTGTTGGTGGATGAAACAGAGGAGATCCAGGTAAGAACTGTTAGGAGTTTTGAAAGGCACAGAGTGGGCAGGTTTAATGGGCAACTTTGTGGTAGGCCAATCTGATTGGCTTAGTTTGAGTCAACCCTGTCTTGGAATTAATTTGGACAGTTGTGACCTTCCAGGTGTTGGCTGCAACTTACATTGGCTCAAGCCAGCATAGTCAGTGGCAAAATATGATGGCAGATGTAATGCCATAATGTCTAGAGAGCCACCTGTTGCCCATTCCTCATTTTGGGGAAAGTAAAGCCAGTGATGAATATAAGGCTGTCCTTAAGGCCTTTTCTTCAGCATGAGCGCCTATGAACACTTTTCTCTTGATCCGGCAAAGCACACAGTAAGTAATTGTAAATGATACAGCCTCGACCCAGATTTTACAGAAACACTCATACAGTTGGCTGGGGCTGGTTGGAATTGACGTCAAGCAACATCTGGAGGGGTGTACTTTTTTTACACCTCCATCATGGTAAATGTATTGTGACTCCTCCAGCTATCCTTCTCTGCTGTGGTATAACAGTGAACAAGTTTTGAACCTGACTGCTAGGAGAACCAAGACGTTAACATTTAGGTTCCAAGTCCATAAGTGGTTTTTATTGAATTAAAACTGTGCACATACCGCCTATGTTAGTGAAAATTGACTCTGTGGTTCTGTATCCTGTAGATGGAAAAGAACACATGACTCAGTGTTTTGTTTGGACACTGCTTTTAAGCCTTTGGTCTGAATCTTCAGTAACAGTGAAACAATGCTGTTTTTCTTCCCTGCCTGTTTCATACAACTCTTCAGATAGTGTGTGCTGCTTTATGCATCTCAGAGAATCATAGCAGTTAATCATCAAACTTAATGATGTCACTAGTCTGTTTTATCTAGTGGGAGTTAGCTGATGCACTTGGCATGAGGAAAGGCAAAAAGCCTGAGGCCAAGCAGGGAAGTTTTAGAAGGCAGCTTTCTTAGGTTCCCAAGGGAGGAAAATGATCAAAAGCAGCCTCTTTTCACTCATAAGCCTTTCAAATTCAGAATGGTTACTATCCTCAGAGTGTTTGCACTGGTGTTTTTAAGTGAAACACGAGATTAACCTAGCAAGCAAAGATGCTGGTTGAAGAAAACAGGATTTATTGGTTACCAGATGGATTCTTCTGCTTTCCCCTTATTCTCAGGAAAAATATCTCACACATTGGTTCCTTATTCTTCTAAATTTCTGGAATGAAGGGCCGTAGCCTAGCAGTCAGTTCCAACTTCATCTTCAGGTAGGGATGGGAAAGTTTATTCTGTGAGCCGTGGAGAGCAGCTACCCATGCATACTAAATTTGATGGATTGCTAGTCTGGCTTGTCCTCTATCTTGTCCTGTACCTTGTAAGACAGAGATCTACTATAAATCCCACACAGAAAGCATTCCACTTACAGACAGGAGTAACCTTTTAAATAAGATTGATTGGGAGGAAGACGGAATTAAATTATTTCTTTCTCCACTTTCTAAATAGTCTAATGCTACACCGTAGATAGTTATTTTTAGCCATTAACACCTTGGCTCTGGAAAGTGTGTTGGACTTTCCTGTCCTTCTGTTATTTGATATATCTTTTTGCTTCTATTCATTGCTTGGACTCATAAGGAAAGGAGTAATAATGTGTCTTCAAGTCAATTCTAATTCATGGTTACCCTTTTCAGATTTTTCCAGGTAGAGAGGACTCAAGTGATTTACCATTCCTTTTTTCTGGGGCACCCTGAGGTTGTGCTGCTTGCCCAAAGCCACATAGGTTGGCTCTACTCACAAGGAAGCACAGTGGAGAATCAAATTCCAACCTCTGGCTCTGTAGCCAGATAGCTAAACCACTGAGCTATCCAGTGAGCTATAAGGAAGAAAATCATAAAGAAGCACTTTTCTGAAGCAATTCGAGACAAAAAGTACAATCCTGTGGAAATGTATTTAGAAGTGAATGTATTCATAGGATTGCAGCCTCAGTTTCCTGTGCAGCTTTTGACAGTCTCCTATCAGTTACGCAGATTTTTAGAAAACAAAAAGCTGTTTTCTTAGGCCACAGATGTCAAATGTATTGATTTTGACACTAGTCAGTACAAAGAGCTCCACCCCGTGGCTCGATTGTGAGACACACAGTTGCCAACATTGCTTTTTCATTATCCAGCTGTCTGTCATGGCTTTAGCACATCTGTTACTTGTTCTTCTTTCAAATAAACATAGCTGTGGCAGTGTAAGCGGATCTTTAGCAATTAAGTCAATTAAGGCTGTCAGTTTACAACTGGAGAGTCTGCATGTCTAACAGCTTCACACCATCAAAAGGAAATTCAGATGCGGCTCCTAGAATTTATCCTAGGATTTAAAATAGTATACATTATGGAGAATTTTCTACCTCTCTTTTTTTAAGGCTGCAAGATACTTACAGACTTGTTGGGCAAAATGTTCCTTTTCTGTCAACTGCTTGTTAAGAACAAGCTCCGCCTGCTAAACTGTGCTTGCAAATACTGTAATTTAATGCCCCAAAAACCCCATTGTGGCAATATATATTTCGTACATGCTTTAAGGCAAAACTCTGATTTCATAGCTCCTTGTTGAAGTGTAAGTCAAGTTGCCACAGCAAAAGGACAAAGAAACACATGACACCAATTCTTCTGTGATACCTCACCTGGACATACTGTATGAAGTATGTGGTTTTAATTCCTGCATGCGTTGGCTTAGTCGTATAGAAATACGTCATGCAATTGAGTGTTGGGAGAGTGAGAACAGACAAAAGAAAATATTTATTGACCCCGCATGTTGTTAGTCTGGAACTCCTTGTCACAGGATGTGGTGATGGCCTCTGGCCTAGATGCCTTTAAAAGGGGATTGGACAGGTTCCTGGAGGAAAAGCAGGTTAGAAGCTAGGCTTAGAAGGAAGGTACCTCAAAATGCCAGATGGAGGGGAGGGGTATCAGGAGACAGGTATCTAGTTGTCTCTTGTGCTCCCAAGGACATCTGGTGGGGCCACTGTAAGATACAGAAAGCTGGGCTAGATGGGCCCTTGGCCTGATCCAGCTGGGCTCTTCTTATGTTCTTAATGACTGAAATTCTGTCTCTGAATGTTGCACTGTGTAAGGCCAGTGGCTACAGTGGAGTTGGGTTCCTGATGAAAACAAATTGCACAGGCGCATTGGTGCCTTGGGACAGAAGTTGGAAATATCCAAAAAGTCATCCTGGCTGATGATATCATTAGTCTTATCCAGTGTAACTTACGTGAATAGGGTTTCAACAATTGTAAGTAACCCTACAATCAGTAACAAAATACGTTATGGGGCAAAAGGTGCACTCCTAGCCTCTCTGGAAGTCCAGCTGAGGGGCTGTAGAAAGCAAAAAAAATTAAAACAAAATTGCCTGTTCTGCTGGGAGAGATGTAAGTATGTTAGTCGGGAAGTATGGTAGTAAGATAAACTACCAACCACCAACATCCTGACAAAAAAAACTTCTACTAACACAGATGTCTGTCTCGCAGTGTTTTGCCAGTGGACAAAGGGAAAACAGAGTGTTTAAGGGAGGCACTAATACAAAATGTCCAGAACCCTTTCATTTTCCCACCATGCCCATAAGGACTGGTGCAATCTTATACTAGTGCTAGGGCAAGTGTACAGTGGACCCTCGAATTACAGACAGCTCCACTTACAGACTTTTCGAGTTACAGAGTTCTCTGGCTGCAAAATTTAGGTTCGACTTGCAGCCGGAGAATCGACCTACAGACTGGAAAAAAAATGGAACAAAAACAGGCGGTTACAGATTAATCGGTTTTCAATGCATTGTAGGTCAATGGAACCTCGACCTACAGACTTTTCGATGTGCAGCCACCGTTCCAATACAGATTAATTCCATAAGTCGAGGATCCACTGTAATTTTTTTTTTTTTTGGTTATTACAATTGATACGAAGGAAGAAACAGAAACTGCTTCCCTCCCCCCCAGTGCTGCTTTGTTCACAGCGGAATGGCACGGAATGGCTTTAGTGCTTGTTCTGCTAGTACATCTCCCTGCTCTTGCTGTCCAATAAATGACTGGCAGGATTTTTCTGACAGTTATTTGTAGTTATTTGACTCTTAACATTTGGCACCTCTGATGTCCAACTGTAATAAAAGAATGACTGAGTCATAAAAGTTAGGAATATCAAAATAAAGTCAAAACCAAGAAATGCATTGTTTTTGTCCTCTGTTGCTAAGGTGTGGACTTCTTTGGCTGCCTGGGTGGGTTTGCACTTTTGGCATCAGTGCCAGGAAGAGATGTTGCATTTCTTGGCATAAGGTTCTTTTTCGAGGTCCAAATGAGAGCCTTCAAAATTGTGTGCCTTACATCCTTAACACTGGGGTGAGGTTAATGGCATTGCAAGTCTTCAAAATTTGGAAAGCAAGGCTAGTCAAGAAAAATGGGTAATTTTTTATCTAGCTGCAAAATATCTGGACCTTTTTCGCTGCTTAGATACTTAACAAAGGGAGTGATTCCACAGGATTAACTCTTTAGAAGTGTATAGATGAAAAGGCATGTGGTATTCATTGGTGTTCTGTCTACAGAAGTGTGATTTACCTTTAATGTGGATGGGTCTGAACTTTGCTATGGCCTTTTGACAACATTTTTCTGATTATTGGTTTATCCTGGATTGATACCTGAACAGAAGGAGGCTGGGTCTACCTCCCAAAATACTGTGATTCATTAGTAGGAAATTATGTAGCTAATGTGGTTGGCTCTGCATAGGCAGGAGAATGAAGTGGCAGGACTAGACTTTACTACCACTTAAGAGGGTTGTTCATCCGAATGCTTCCCAGTGTTAAGAAAAAAGGTCCACTGCTAATAAAGTATGTAGTACTGGGAAAAGTGATTTTAGCAGTTTTTTTTAAAAGCTAGGCTTATGGTTAGAAGAGTCATTTGAAATGGAGAAACAGTAAAATGTGACCTGACACATGAAATGATGCAATTCTTTCTGTTACTAAATGTGTCCACCACCTAAGTTGCACATATACAGACATTTTACTGACGGCATAGCAGTTTCAGCCAGAAGTGGACTCACTGTAAAGCATACCATTTGAGCTATGATCAATGGATTGTAGTAGTAGTGGTAATAGTAGTAGTAGTAGTAGTAGTAGTAGTAGTAGTAGTAGTAGTAGTAGTAGTAGTAGTAGTATATTCTTATGTGCCATCAAGTTTATTCTAGATAGATGTGGTTTACCATTCCCTTACTTTGAGGGTTCTGCGGGACTGTGGAGCTTGCCCGGGGTTAAATAGACTGACTTTTCTGCAGAAAGGCACACTGGAAAATTGAACTGCCAGCTTCTGACTCCACAGCCAGATAACCTAATTCACAATGCTATCTAGCACTAATAATTAAAGTGGGATATACATTGTTTTCTTTGTCAAAAATAAATACCTTTCTGAAGTTGGATGTGCTAATTGAGGTCTGTGTATTGTTGTTTAATCACTAGCTGATTACATTTCAAAGTTATTGGGAGGCCAATTGATATCAGACAATTAAAAAAATCTTATTAAGTGACTGTGTTTATGGGCCATCATTTCTACAATTTCCTCGCTATATTGGGCAGGGAGGCTTGTAGTGGAGCCATGCTCGTAGTCCTCTGAATGAGCAGTGAACACTCCATGCAACTGAGGTTTTAAAGGTGGCTTGGTCACATTGAAGGTTCTATTCATAGTTAAGTAAACACGAATAGAGCACTCTGTACAAGGGACTGGTCAGAAGCTAAATGTGTATCTGGATGTGTCTCAGCACTTTATAACTAGCTGGATACAATTCAGAATAATCACAAGCTATATCAAAATGAGTAACTTGTTCCTCTTCAAATGTAGTTAGACTACAACTCTCATCAGCCCCAGCCAGTATAAGCAGTGGTGAGGAATTATGGGCCAAAATATTGGACCACACATATTAGAGAAATCTCTCTTTTTACTGTCTTTGTGATGAGCTGAGAATGATTTATTGACAGTAATGCTTTTGAGTACAAATAACAACAATATATAAAAAGGGGTGTTCTGAAAGGTCCTTCACAGTTGTGTATCTCTCTTCCCTTGTGGTTTTGGCAGACTCTGAACATTATAAGCTAGTCTGGGTTATAAATCAGGTCTCTGCAGTATTGACCTTTGTGGTTTGTACAGTTTCTCACACAGTCTTCCTTTTTTGTGTTGGAAGGTGGCAAATGAAGAAGAATTTATCAGAAAGTTGGACTGCAAGCCTGACCAGCATGTCAAGGTGGTGTCCATTTTTGGGAACACTGGTGATGGCAAATCGCATACCCTTAACCACACTTTCTTCTATGGCCGTGAAGTCTTTAAAACCTCTCCAGCCCAGGAGTCGTGTACAGTAGGGGTTTGGGCAGCTTATGATCCTGTCCACAAAATGGTGGTGATTGACACAGAGGGTCTTCTTGGGGCTACTGTAAACCTGAGTCAGAGGACCCGACTGCTTCTGAAAGTCTTGGCCATTTCTGACTTGATAATCTATCGCACCCATGCCGACAGACTTCACAATGATCTCTTCAAATTTCTTGGAGATGCTTCAGAGGCTTACTTAAAGCACTTCACCAAAGAGCTGAAGGCAACCACAGCCCGTTGTGGCCTGGATGTCCCATTGTCCACGTTGGGTCCTGGAGTCATTATCTTCCATGAGACTGTGTACACACAGTTGCTGGGTGCTGGTGAGTAGATAGAAATTAGCTGGATAGCAGTTGTTACAATGTTGATTTGGATAAGAGTTGGGAGTCAAGCACTACCTGAAGGGCCACAGGTTCCCTATCTCGGTTATAGCGTAATATCCAGAATTCAACATCATCACTTATAAGATCTGGGTTTTGAATCCTAATTGTCCTCACTTTTGATAAAACAAAGCAAGAGTGGACAACTTCAAGAGGTCATGTACCTCCAGCCCCATACCTTGGAGAGCCACACTCTTCCTGTTTCCAGTAGCCTCCTCCCATTAAATACATATTTTTACATGAAAAAGAAAGGGTTCTTACAAATTCTGGAGGACACGGAAAGATCGGTTTCACCACATCCAACTCCCTCTCTGCCATTGGTTTAGGCCCAGGGGGTTCCTCCCCTCCTCCCACCAAAGTGATTGGGAGTCCTATCTGGGTTTAAAAAGGCCCTGTGGCCTGAAATTGCATGGGGGTAATCCATTGTTCCCTTCTGCCTGGATGTATATTATTTATTTGATATATATTATTTTTTATATATACTGTATTATTTATTTATTTTGGAGGGGGGATATGGAAGCAGGAGGCCACACTTGGTCTCCTGGGGATGGGATTTCATGTGGCTGAGGGAGGTAGAAAGTAGAGGAAGTGTGGAAGCGTTTAGGGTCTGTGCAGCAGTATGTAACTTATTAATCTGATTTGGGAACAACAGTCTTTGCCAGAACAAGGTCCTGTTTGGCAATTTTTAATGGGAAATAATTTTGACATTTTGAGATTATAATGAGATTATACCTCCGGCCTCTCTATTTATTACTATAAAATAAATGCCCATGTCAGAATAAATGAAACGAATAAGCATGTAAAGAAGATCGTAAGTTGTGTTACATAGACTTGTATAAAAAACTGCCCAGTTTCCTCTTCACCCTGACAGCTGTTCTGAAAGCAGGGGTGTCCTAGCTCTTATCCGATAACCTGCGCTGCTATAAGAGTAAGTGTGGCAGCTACATTAATATATACCTCAACTGGCTTCTCAGTAAGGGCTTTAACATTTGGGTGGGCGGCTTTGTCAGGACCAGGAGCCCATTTTATGTCCCCAGGACCTTCCAGGGGCTGCATCGATTGCTAAAAATGCCCCAAAATGCAACAAACAAACAAAACCTGACATTCCCCTGAAGTTTGTAAAAGTGGTGTTTTGAGTATTAAAGGCTGCCCCCTTGGGCAAACTGCACAGTCCCAGACTGGCCCTAGAAGGACAGACTGATGAACAATTCCTGAGTACCTTGTGCCTAGAAAGCCCTGGGAAGGCTGGCCATCTGTCAGAATGGGCTGAAGAGTCGTTACTAAATTGTAAGCAGTCGGGGGACTGGTGGCTCACTTCTCATGGGGGCTTCCAGGAGCTGCAGTTCAATATTTTTGCCCATAAAACAGTTCCGGGGCTACGCTCTCTGCGCTCCTGCTTAAACCAAAAGATATTAGCAGGAAAACCCATGTTTGAAGCTGAAAGAGCAATATCCCAGCCCTTCCGTTTTAGCAATACAGTAGGTAACGTGCTGGTAGGTACATGAATATGTCTTCCCTTCCAGGCTCCCTCATCCACTCATTCACTCACTCCCTACAAATAGAAAATCCACATGACATTCTTTGTGGTTGCTGGGTGCCCTTGCTGGCCCTCACAATATAGGTACAATAAAATGGTGTGATACACCGCTATAGGCGAGCATACTGCTATAAAAACTTGTATCACCATTTCATAGAATCATAGAAAAGTGAAGTTGGAAGGGGACTACAAAGCCATCAAGTCCAGCTCCCTGCTCAACGCAGGAATATAATCAAAGCATATCCGCCAGGTGATTATCTTAAGTTTTTCTTGAATGCCTCCAGTGTTGGAGCACTCCCCAACCCCCAAGGTAACTGGTTCCGCTGTCATACTGCTCTAACAGTTAGGAGGTTTTTCCTTATGCTCAACTGAAATCTGTCTTCCTTTAACTTGAGCCCATTGTTGCGTGTCCTGCACTCTGGGATGATTGAGAACAGATCCTGCCCCTCCTCTGTATGACAGCCTTTCAAATATTTGAAAAGTACTATAATATCTCCCCTCGGTCTTCTTTTTTCAAGGCTAAACATTCCCAATTCTTTCAGCCTTTCTACATAAGGCTTGGTTTTCAGGCTCCTGAGCATCCATTTGATGCTATGAAATGTAGTGACAACTGCCTTAGATGGTTTTTTGTGAGTTTTCATGGGTTACAGTGTTTATTTCAATGTGAACTTTCATGATGACACTCACGAGCCGGTTTCAGAATGCTTCAACTTCCCAGGATACCTCTGTTACAGATGTATTACAGAATAGTTGTGGCGAAAAGGAATTATAAATGAAAATATGAGAGAGAGAGAGAGAGAGAGAGAGAAAGAGATACAGTATGAAGTGGGTTATATTTACAGATTCCAACATAAATCAAAAGGATTAAATAAAGATATAGGATTCTTAGCACATTATGGCCAGAATCCTATAGCATGAAGTAGAAATTATGTAGTTTGTATGATCATTCCAAATGTCTGTCATAACCTAGGTTGCTCACTTCATGGTGTATTCAGTTGCACCACCAGATGCTAGAAAACTGCAAAAACCATTCTGCTGCTCACTTCATGGTGTATTCAGTTGCACCACCAGAGGCTAGAAAACTGCAAAAACCACTTCTGAAGTTCTGCTTAGCATAGGCATCCTTCAGTCTTGAGAGACTGTTACCCAAGCAGCAGATCCCCCCTCTCCACCTTGCTGAAATGGTCCAATGGAAAGGCAAGAGCCAATACAACTGGTTTCAGCAAGGTCGCAGGAGTTGGCAGAACGACACAAACTGCCTTTGGGACTCCAGCTCCGGATTTTGCCTCTAGGTTAACTCCTGAAGCCTTTTCCATGAGTGGATATAGCCACAAGGCAGTGGAGGTTTGAAATTGGAGTTTTCCTTCTCCTAGATGGGCTGCCTTCCATGGCTGACGAGCCCCACCTACCTGGCCTGCTCTTTAATAGTGCGGAAGTATGATCTGACCCTTAAAGCTTTCCTGCCTCCCACATGCAGTATTTCACATTTGAATTTTCGCCAATGTACATTAATACTCTAGATTCATCCACAGTCTTGGGTACAGCTAAAATCCTGACCAGCAAAGCTAGTGGTGAAGGCCTCTAGGACTTTTTGTCCAGGTAGAGGTATTTATTTTATTTTTTATTTATTTTATTAGATTTATACCCACCCATCTAGACTAGGTCTATTCTGGGCGGCAAAGAAAAGTCAGTGCAATCCTGTGCATGTTTATCTCCCCAAATGTGCGCTGCTTATATACCATCCCATAACACTTAAAGCACTCTCTGGGCAGTTTAGAATTTCATTACACCTTGCTGCCCCTCTCCCCAGCGAGTTTGGTACTCAGTTTACTGACTTCAGAAGGATGGAAGGCTGAGTCAACCTTGAACTGGCTACCAGAGCCTGTTTGGACCAAACTCAGGTCATGAGTACTGCAGTTTAACCACTGAGCCATGAGATTTTTCTCCAGTGTTATGAAGGTCTTTGTCTCTGCAGATCTTGGTGCTAGCTAGTTCCTGTGCACCTGGTTAATAGTAAGGGTTGATGAGTGTACTAGTTTATCAGCACATACAGGGCTGAAAATTCTTCCATCTACTGAGCACAATAATACGTATTGCCAAAGGAGTGTGTATAAGACCAAAGCCTAAATCACACTTTGTTCCCATGATCTTGGCAATAACTTACCTTCAGACTCATGGTCTGCCTGTGTCATATCTCATTAGCCCCTGAAAAAGGGATGAAACTACAGACTTCCATGTCACATCTAAAGCAAAGCAAAGCGTGCTGCTTATATACCGCCTCATAGCACTTCAAGCACTCTCTGGGCGGTTTACAAGTTAATTATGCAGGCTACACATTGCCCCCCCCCCAGCGAATTATGTACTCATTTTACCGACCTCGGAAGGATAGAAGGCTGAGTCAACCTTGAGCCGGCTACCTGGGATTGAGCCCCAGGTCGTGAGCACAGTTTTGGCTGCAATACAGCGGTTTAACCACTGCGCCATGAGGCTCTTCTACACAGTCAAGAGGCATCTTCGGCTGTTTTCTGACTACATTCCTGTTCACATTTTAAAACGACAATTTTCAAAACATAATACTGAACTATAACTTAATCTCAAGGTCCTCAGGATCCATGTTCACCGTAAGTTCATCGGCTTCAGCTCTAACTCATTTAAGCTGCTTGCAGAAAAAAATTTTTTTGTCAAAATGCACAAAAAAGTATGCACTTTCAGAGATGGAGATGGGGGCTTGATCTTGTCTACACAAAGTTGCAGAGGGGAATTAGCCATACAAGGAAGGAATCAGTATCTCTCAGGGGAATGATCAAAAATGTTTCTGGAGATTTTAATAAGGCTTCTAAGGAATTTCTAATATTATGCTAAGTGGAAAGGGGAAAAAAACCCTTCAGAATAACTTAAGAAAGAACTGGCAAATAGATCTGTTACTTCTCATCTCCATATGTTGTCACTAATAAACGTGCATCTGTAGAGACAAACTCCATTTGAGAACTACAGAAATTTCTGATAGTATGTTTTCTGTTCCATAATGAGATCTTTGAGCTGTAGCATATTTTTATGCTAATATCACATAATTTTTTTTTTAAAAGCAGAAAGCATTTTAACAATGAAAATGATTTAAATGAAACAGATTTGATTAAAAATTTAAATTCCTTTTCTAAAAATCACAGATTTTTATCCACTTGGGGAAGAATGGTGTGTTTTTCGCAGCAGCTGTAAAATGTACCTGTTTCAAATGTTTTTAGATAATCCTTCTGAGGTGCCTGAGAAGCTAATCCAGGATCGGTTCCGGAAACTCGGTCTCTTCCCTGAAGCTTTCAGCTCAATCCATTACAAAGGAATAAGGACCCAGAACCCTCCAACAGATTTCTCTGGACTCCGGCGTGCTGTGGAACAGCAACTGGAAAATAATACTACACGCTCTCCCCGGCCTCCTGGAGTTATCTACAAAGCGCTCAAAGTAAGTTTAAGATCATGACTTACTGTAGTAGCGAAGGAGACCAGATGCCGTGGCTGCATCAAGACACTTCTAGGTCAACAGTGGTGGCAGGGGGGGGTGTCTGTTCTTTTCCAAGGCCCCAGTGGCCTCCCCTGGTTCTGCAGCAGTTGTCTTCAGCCTCTGGGCCTTGAGGTGTTTGGGATTTAGTCACCAGGACCCCCAGCCCGGCATGAGACTTTAGGAGATGAAGTACAAAACATTGGGTTGGAACAAAGGTTTGGATCTCCTGCTCTTGGGCATGGATCGACAACCAGGTGTTCTCCAGAGACTTCAGGTGACGTTAGCTGTGCCCCCCCCCGCCGGGGATGATGGAGCGCACTGATATTGGGAGGGCATCACGTGACAGAAGGCTTATTTCAAATTTCAAAGTCCTCTAGTTTGCCTTGGTGGTGAAGTGAGGTAATTCTCACATACATATAGATACAGAGATATCTCAAGGATAGGGAAGCCTGTGCTTGCTAATATAGTAAGTGAGTCACAGCATATGTTGCAAGGTAGATGTCAGGTTCATCCCAGGAATCTGAGCTGAAGTATAGGCTGGACCTATCCCGTTCCATTTTTGGGAACTGAAGTGGCAATTAAATCTTACTTCAGTATCCATGACAAGGTAGCATCTTCTACCATGTCTGAGGGATGTGGACTAGCTTCTGGGACACACACACACTGTGAGAAACACACAGCTCTTAATTGCAACAGAGGTCTGTGCCTGGAGAGCTCAGGAGAAATATCCCGTGTGGTGTTGATTCTGCCCCCTGGACCTGCTGCCTGGGGCAGTCACCTCAGTTTGCCCAATAGTAGGACCAGCCCTGATAGGTACTCATCTGTTTCTCTCTTAGCTAGCCAAAAGGGTGTGTGTGTGTCCAAGCTGACAACTGGCACTAATGTCTGAGTTTAGTTGATGACTGTTCTCCTTGTCCAGTTTCTATAGTCTTAACAAAAAACAAGTTAGAAGAAACTTTTGACTGGGTGTGTGCAGAGCTTTCTCAGGCCAAGTCTTAAGTCTTTTCTTTCTGCACCATCAAAAATAGTTTTTTTAAAATAACTTCTGTAATACAGATACTTGCCCTCTGGGTTCTAGTAATGATAGCTCGTGGTCTGTAAATGCACCAGCAAGACAGTAATATATTGTTGCTGAGGTAACTGAGAGTTAAGACATGGTCTCCAGGCAACAACCTATTCTCTGATTTGCTTTGACTTCCCTCAGTTTTCTTAAATGAGGAGATGGCTTTTTGTCTGGTGATAGCAAGAGCATGACATCTTGAGTGTTGAGAGCACAGCTCTGCAGGGGACATTGTAAGACTGCTGGTAGCTGCTGGAGAAGATGTCTGATAAGGCCCCTGACTTTCAAAATGAGGAGACGTTGTCTGCTGTGTTGTCCTTTGTGTTCACATTTAATCCTGGTATCACTAACTACTACCGTTACTGTCTTGTTATGCATGTTTAATCAGAAGTAAATATCACTGAATTTAATGGTGCTTATTTCCAGATAAATGTGCACAGGATTTCAACTGAACATATCCATCCTGCAATCCTTTCTACTCCAGACCATAATTAACACAAGTTTTTATAAAATCACCTTTATGCATCAAGGTTATATTATGCTGTTAACTTCACTCTGTTTATTCATAGCGCACATCTATTTATGGATGACAGTCTGTGAAATAGGCACATTTTAATCACAGGAGAAATGGTGATTTGTCAGAAAAAGAGGGAGGTCCCTGCTAGAATCCTAAGTGATCAAGCCGTTTCCTTCTTGGATTTCTTCTCAGAGATATTATGGCTTTGATAACTACATGGCAGGAACTGACTTATAAAGGACTCCTTTTCCAAATGGAAAAGGCACCCCCTACCCCAATAGTCCTTACAGTTTCCTGGTGCTATTTTTGCAATTTTGCAGTCTCTACACTCAGACTTTTATTCACTCAGACCATTTCAGGAAATTTATGTTTTATATTTTAACTAAAATTCAGGCTGTCAGCGTTTTACTATATTTTTGTATTCTCAGCTGCTCACTGTTTCCATGTGTGTCTGTGAGAAATGAAATTCAAAGCCATATTCTTGACTGTTTTTAACTGTTTCATCTTGTATCTTATTTTGCTCTTTGCTCTGTAAAACTACCCAGCAATGTTTGTTGGTATATACAGTGAACAAATGACGATGACGACTATTGTGATGGTGATAAAATAAAAATTAACTCAGGAAACGTTTTCCACGTGGGTGGTAATAAAAACCACCTAAAATTCAGGAAGTGGATTCTACGAGCAATATGTAGCAGTAAGCCACATACCGTATTTTTTGCTCCATAAAACGCACCTTTCCATAAAATGCACCAAATTTTTAGGAGAAGAAAACAGGAAAATATAATCTGGTTTTTTTCACTCCATAAGACGCACAGACTTTCGACCCCCCCTGCTTTGTGGGAAAAAAGTGCGTCTTATGGTGCGAAAAATACGGTAATATTTGACTGTATTTTTTGAAGCTGCCTTGAAATCCTGATATGCCGGTTAGTATTGCATGCCCTACTGATAGAAAATAACTGATGATGCCAATGGAATTGTTGGTTTAATATCCTGCAGTTCTATGTTCATTGTTGGTTTTTTTCCCCCTCACTGTTTTGTAGGCACTGAGTGATCGGTTCTGTGGTGAGATCCCAGATGACCAAATGGCTCATAGTTCCTTCTTCCCAGATGAGTATTTCACCTGTTCCTCTGTTTGTCTCAGCTGTGGGTAAGTGAATGAGAAGCCCTTTCTTTGAATTAAGTCTGAAGGTACCTTATTACTTACTACTTTTCTTTATCCATTTGTTTGCATTTATACTTTGAAAGTGCGTCTACTGATTTATGCGCTTGATTTATGCGCTTGAAGTGGCTTGCACTAGTCATAAAACAATAAAAACAAGTGAAAACAAAGGCTAGCTATAGAATTGTTAAAATTAAACAAAATCAAACATGCAAGTCTGGTTGAAATTAACACACAAACAGTTAAAATCTGCTCAGTAAATTGAAGAATATTATGAACTAATTTCAAATATAAATTCTTGCTCATATGAGCAGTGAGAGTGGAAAGAGACTACAACTCTCATGGCATACATCCCATAGTTTGCTTTGGAGCCATGGAGGAGAAAGCTTTATTTCAGACTTCTCTCTAATTGGTCTCTGCAGCTGTTGAAAATTTCAATAGAACCTCTTGAAATTTATTTATTTATTTATACACACCCCACCTTTCTCCTTAAATGTACCCAGGATTACTTACATCATTAAAATACAGTATTAAAGCTAAGAACAGTGAGTATAGAAATACTAAAAATGCCATATGAAATGCCATATGAAAAAAAACATAAGCCACACCAAAACACATTCAAAACAGTAGGGTACCACAATCCATTAAAAAACCACACTCAGGCAGCCAGTCATTCAGGGAAAGCTTGCCTGAAGACAAATGTCTTCTCCTGCTAAGATGGCTGGACTTTAGATAGGCAGGCCCTGTGCCGTTTATTGCTGTGTTGGTTAAAACCAATGCTGTGAATAGACCTGGAAGAGCAGCTTTCAATCAGTTAAGGCATTTCAGTTGTTTATGGTTGTAAGAGCTTGAGACCATGCACCGTTTAGCCGCCTATCTGCGACATGCTGTAGCAATTGAACATCCTGGACCTCCTCAAGGGCAGTGCATTGAAGCAGTATCGAAGTGCAATATAACTAACAGCTCATGAAATGAAAGTTTGTGCAAAAAGCGCTCTGCATTTTTTGCGCAACTTTAGTGGGAACTCAATTTAATTTAGCCTGTGCGAAAACACAATCACCATCAGTTGGTATTATATTGAGGTGTCTCTTGCTGGCAGGCAGGTTGCCACCACCTCCATATTACCATTTCTTTGCTATGTTTTGAAACTCCAGGTCTGGATGTAAGAACAGCATGAACCATGCAAAAGAAGGAGTGCCTCATGAAGCTAAGAACCGCTGTAGATATACCCATCAATATGATAACAGAGTTTTTACCTGCAAGGTGAGTGGAGCAAGTGAACTAGAGTCTCTGACCTACTAAAGAGTGGAGCAAGTGAACTAGAGTCTCTGACACTGCAAATGGAGAAAAACTGACCTACTAAGCTGATAATTCATGCATTGTGACCTGTCAGGTGCTTGACAGCCAGTGTGGGGAAAATACTGGATTCTTATCAGGTTGTCATCTTGCTTGCTTGCTTGCTTGCTTGCTTGCTTGCTTGCTTGCTTGCTTATTTATTTACTTATTTGTTTGTTTGTTTGTTTGTTTATTTGTTTATTTGTTTATTTGTTTATTGATTTATATCCTGCCCATCTGGTCTATTTGATCACTCTGGGTGGCAGCTTAACCAGGCCTTATTATTTGTAAAGATAATTGGAGCAGTTAATGTTGCAGAGTTTTGAATTTCTGGTAAAATTCCTTTCTGTTACACAGCAGAAGTACAGAAATTCACAGAGGCGAATAGCTATAAATTCCCCAGATAATCCATCGTTTTCTAATTAACTTGCATTCATAGTCTCTGAGACATTTGTAGGAGAAAGAATAAAGTCATACTTCATTACTTACAGTTTTGAACAGATCAACAGCAAACTAACAGACTGACTACTTCTGAAAGACTAAAGAGAAGGAAAAGGAACACCCAGGAGAGAGGCAGGGCTCTCTTTGAATTTGGAGGTGGGAGGGAACAATGGATTAGGTTGACAGTTCCCCCAGTCCCAAGAAGGCCCTTCCAGTCACTCAAATCAAAGGCAGCATGCAAGGTTATAAAAACTCCCCAACACTTAATATGTGAACGAATGTTATGTAGACTGGCAACAAGCAGTTCAGAGCAGAAATAACACACCTCTTCTAATGCTCCTCTCCCTCTCTGTCTTCTTATCCCACTTGGTGTCAAATCTTCCTCCTAGATGAAATTGAAATACTTAAAATATCAATGACTGGAGCGATAACAGTGTGTTTGTGGCGGGGGTTGGAGAGGATACGCAAAAGGCTATCTTATGTTTTTAAAAATAGATGTTGGCCTTTTGGGAGTCTTGGGAACAAAAGGGGAGCAGGACAGGAGGTGAAATAAGTTTGTCTTCCCACTCCTCTTTGTAGGTGTTAGAGAACTCACCTATATTTTCCAGTCTTAGGCAAAAGAAACAGAAACTCGTCCCCAGGTATTTGCTCTGGAGAGTCAGAGTCACTTTGGTTTTCCCAAGCCTCTTGTGTGATTTTTAACACACTAGTAAATAACACTTACTACTTAGTTTTTACTGCTTCCTTTTGAAGAAAAATATATTACATTTCTTTTTTAAAAAAAAAAACAGGCTTCATGTGAGTGCAAGGCTTTGGGGTTGGAGGAGAAATCTTTTCAAGAGTTCTCTCCTATTCTAGGCCTGTTACGAACGGGGAAATGAAGTCCGGGTGGTGCCCAAAACATCTGCTTCCACTGATTCCCCTTGGATGGGTCTTGCCAAGTATGCTTGGTCAGGGTGAGTACTGGAACCTCTCTTCCTTCCCTTCCTATTCGTAGCTCTTGTCTCTGATGCTGGGAGTGACCAGATTTATTTATTTTTTTACTTTCACGAATGCAGCTATGTGATTGAGTGCCCCAATTGTGGCGTTGTGTACCGTAGCCGGCAATACTGGTTTGGCAACCAAGATCCTGTGGACACCGTTGTGAGGACAGAAATTGTGCACGTCTGGCCAGGAGTAAGTCTGCTGCATGAATTGGCTTCTGTTTCTTTTGATCTGAAGTGGAACGATCAGGCTACCATGTTGCTCGTTCCTTGGTGTCCAGTGACCCCACTCTCAAGAGCTACAGGAGAGACAAAGAGAGAAGCTTTGCATGTCTGGTTATTTGAAATGAATGTCAGTGTCACCCTGTTATGGTCTTTGAGACCTGGTTTGGAACTGCATCAGATAGCTGCTGCCCAGCATCAATAGCTCATGGAAGTAGAGGCCTGCAGATTCATGTTTTGAGAAATAGTTCCTTGGGAATTCTGGGAATTGTCATTCAAAAGCACAAGCCTGCCCACTTCTGAAAAATGAGGCACTGCTGCATTCACCCTAACTGGTTCTCTGTGTCCTGCCTCTCGGTTTCTCTTAGGAGTCAATTCACGTGCTTAGGCTGTGGACTTCAAAGCAGAGAGTGATGAGGGGGACCCTTCATCCTTTTTCTGGAAGCTTGGGTGATCCATGCTGGCTGGAGGAAAAGTTAGACCACCAAATGCTTCTGAGCATTACTTGAACTCCTCCAGAGGAAATGGCATGTGATTCTGAAGTGTCACCATCAGTTAGGGCAGGCATCCTTCCTCTGAGTGTGTTTGCTTGCACTTCTTAGCTCTCCCCATTCCTTGAATAAAAGTCTGGGTCCGTGATAGCTTTTGAAAGAAGGCGAAGTGTCAGCAGCAGGCAGGTCTGTTGAGATGTCTATTGCATCAACATTTCTCTTCTCTCTCTCTCTCTCTCTCTCTCTCTCTCTCTCTCTCTCTCTTTTGCAGACGGATTGCAGCCTGAAGGACAATAATAATGCTGCCCAACGCCTTATAGATGGAATGAATTTCATGGCACAGTCGGTGTCTGAACTGAGCTTGGGGCCCACGAAAGCAGTGACGTCCTGGCTGACAGATCAGATTGCCCCTGCTTATTGGAAACCTAATTCTCAGATTCTGGTATTTAGCAGCCCCCATGCTTTCATGCTAACAACTATCCCCTCTTCCTTTGTCCTTTTCTCCTCCTCTAAAGAGATGTCCATAATGGTTCATTATTTGATGGAATGCATCTTTTATATTCTTATGGACTCATAACTTCCACTGTTGTCTGGGTTGCACATATTCATTCCCCAGGGGAGAGTCCAAAAGGCCTCCGAGAGACACAGCAACCTTACGAACAGTGTTCACTCTTCTCCCCACCTCTGTGCAAGAAAGGAGTGTGTGTGAGGCAACAGCCTCCATAGTAAACTGGGGAGGGAGGATGAAACAGCACCATGACAGAGAGATGCTTTAAACTCGAGATGGAATATGAGTTTATTTCTCTTCCTTCCCCACCATGAAGAATGTGAGAAACTGCTATACGTGCCCTCTCTGGGACTAAATTCTCAGTTATTTTTAGGTTCCTTTCTGGAAAAGGAGGGGGAATTAGTCTCTACTTTTGCCTCCAGATCAGAGTTCTGGTTTCTACCATCTCCCTCTCTGTCTCTCATGGGGGGGGGGGGGTAAAAACAAAGAGAGTACATAATTCATGACAGCTGTTTCTTTCTCAAGGTAGCACTGCTGACTTGCTTCTTTTGCTTTCTGTTTCTGAGAGCTTGGAAATAATACATTAGAGTTAATGTGCTGAAATGGTTAACGTTTGCATTAAATTGGAGGGCGCTGCTCCATCCAAGCTTCAGAAAATAACCTTTTAACAGTGAGGCCACAAACTCCATAGTAATGTGGTTAGCTTAGCCCAGTGGTTCTTAACCTTGGGTTACTCAGGTGTTTTTGGACTGCAACTCCCAGAAGCCTTCACCACCAGCTGTGCTGGCTGGGGTTTCTGGGAGTTGCAGTTCAAAAACACCTGAGTAACCCAAGGTTAAGAACCACTGGCTTAGCCAGTTGAGTTTAAGACACACACTTCACCCTGCTTCGTTACGTTGTCTAAGCTAAAAAGAAAAGAATTCAATGGTGGTTTGTTTGATTTCCCCGTCTTGTTTAGAATTGCAAGAAGTGTGGTATATCTTTCAAGGATAATGACACCAAACACCACTGTCGGGCTTGTGGAGAAGGTTTCTGTGATGGCTGCTCCTCCAAGACCCGTCCTGTCCCTGAACGTGGCTGGGGGCCTACGCCTGTGCGAGTGTGTGACAGTTGCTATGACAACAGGGGCCTTCAGTTAGGTAATCCCATCCTGGCTACATTAGGTGTGTGATTCATGGGGGCATTATCTTTTTTTATTATTATTATAGAGTCATGTTGTGATTATCGCTATTTTCTGTGATTTCAGACTGTGGCCAGGATTAATGGACTGTTCAAGTCCTTTGATCATCTCTCTTGTTCTGTTTCATTTAAAAGCCGTCAAGGGAGCCCTTGTATTGGATTGGGACTGTGGTGCAGCAGGGAGGGAGTCACGACCTATCCTATTTTCTTCCTCCATATTCATTCCCCCAAACTTTCTCTCCCAAGAGTGAAATGACCCAAATGGGAACTTACCTGTAGAAGGAACTTTTTAAAAGGCAGAAAGTCTGACCATGAATTTGCAACACTGTGTAGCAAAAGCTGGGCATATGAGAAACATTTATTACCAAATTAGTTTCCAAACGTGTTGATATTTTTCTTCAAAAATTTATTCAACATAGAAATTAATATTCACTTGAAGAAATCCATATAGTAAAATGGATTCCTTCAGTAGCTGTAGGAAAACTTTGTTCAAATTAAAAGGTAATAGGGAAGCATATGGAGTATACTACTTTCTCATTGATCTCATCCTTTAAGTCAGGTGTGGGGAACCTTGCGCCATCCATATGGTTTGCTACAATTTCCACAATCCCTCTCCCTTGGCTATTCTGGGTGGGACTGATAGGAGTTGTAGGTGAAAACTTTGGCTCACCTTTTTTCAACCTGGCACCCTTTTAGGAAGCTGTAGCTTCCAACTCAGTGAGTTAGGTATTTGACTTTGCAGCCAGGAGCTGGGAGTTCAATTCCCCATTGTGCTTGTGTACCCTTGCTCAAGCTGTACAGTCCCAGAGACCCCCTAGAAGAACAGAATGGGAAACCGCTTCTGAATATTCTCTACATTCCTAACATAGAAAACCCTGGATGGGAGTCACCATAAGTTGGAATCAACTTGACAGCACACAGTTATTACAATTAGCTTCTCCAATCTCACAAGTTTCCCCAGACATCAGGGATTATGAGACTTGTAGTCTAATTCAGACATTGTCACTAGTATATTACCATCAGTTATTGTTGAAGTTGGACATTTTCTAACATAATTGAGAAATATAATAGTTTTTTTTAACTTCATTTACTTTTTAAAATCAGTGTTTTTCCAATGATAAGCTAGTCAGGTATTAGATATAGTGGACAGGAGGAAAAGAAAGCTGTCCCCAGGTTACAAGGGCATCATTAAATTACATAAGAAACCTGTTTCTTCTCCCACTCGGAGATCTGTCTTGTCCAACCTGATTAAGAGTCTTAAAGAAAGCTTTAAAAAGAGTTACAATAAGGAGAGGAAATTGCAGGAAGGGGGAAAGGAAAACAAGGACGGTGTTTCTGGTTGTGTGGAGAAGAAATGGGATCTTCAAAAACTTCTTGCAGTGTTCTGTCCAGAGCAAAACACAGGGGCAGAGGGATGGGATGAGTGAAGTTATGGACGAGATATTTCATCTTCATTCTGGTAACATCGCTATGCGAGGCACCACTGTACATTTAGATAGCAATTTAAATATATTTATTTCAGTGTAAATGCAATTCAGTTATTGGTTTTCAGCTTATTAACAATTAATTTAACATGCGAGGCTTCTGCTGTATTACATATAATATACATTTAGATAGCAATTTAAATGCATTTATTTCAGTGTAAATGCAATTTAGTTATTGGTTTTCTGCTTATTAACAATTAATTTAACATGCAACAATTTTGCCACTAACTTTATACTCTCTGGACCCACCCATCTGGAGGGGACCACATTGGGGAAGGCTGCTGTAGCTGCTCGGCTCATAGCAATGCCTTCACCAGAGATGCACCGTGGTAACACTGTCATTGCATGTGCATACTATGGAATGGGGAGGCAGATGTCAGGGCCCTCCAGGAATTAAAATGTCATTCCTCACTAACCTCCATTGCTTATATTTTGAAAACATAAAGAAACCTGGTGCCTTTGGGCTGCAATTTCCAACCTTCCTCTTGTCATGTTGGGTGAGGCTGATGAGATTGTCGGTCAAAGCATGTGGATGGTCAAAGGTTCCCCACCCTGTCATAAACCATAATGTGACATGCGTTCTTTGGATTGTGCACAGATGTACAGATTTTTCTGCTGTTAAGATGTTTTCTGATCCCTCACCCACAGCAATTTTCAGTCTTCTAATGACCAATCCAATTCATCTCCATATGATTTTAGTGGCGGTGGGGGTCTAAAACACACAGGTCATGACATTTCATTTATCCCAATATTTTGGTCAGGTTCTTTCGTCAGGTTCATTAAGAACCATTCTGAGAGGGAAATGGCTTTGTAATCAACATAAAGGCCAACCAAACTGCTTTGTGTAGCACAAAACTCTGCACCTGATTACTTTCTGAGATTTCTTGGCCTTTTCCTTTATTCCAGTCCTCTTCCCCTCCCCCGCTGTTATTAACATTTACACAGGAGATGTCACTTGCAGAATAGTGAAACACAACTGAATTGTACCACTCATACATACATGCATACAGACATGCCTGTCAGAAGATTACCCCTGATGTGCACCAGGTCCTTTCGGTGGTGGTTTAATGTCATGAAAATAAGGGCTAAGAAGAAAGGTGTGCAGTAAATCATCTGCTCATTTCATAATGGATTCTGCTCATAAATGCAAACAGTGAACTAGCTATGTTGAGATCATAACCTTGGTGAAGATACTCCTGTGGGGAAGTCTTAGCACCCACTTTCAGAGTAATAGATCATAGATTTCAGCCATCAGGAACCCATGTACACTCAGCAGAGGTAGAGAGAAGCATTCTAGCTCCACCCACTTCATCACCCACTTCATTGCTTTTCTACACATCAGTCTGGAAAATCAGTGGAGAAAGCCCATACAGGTAGCAGAAGCTCTCCCTCTCCACCCTCATATCCCTCTATGTACATGATGGTGCCAAATTCTGGAGTTAGAAACAGAGGGGATGGAGTTGGAGCACTCTCTACTTCCCGTGGTGAGTAGACGTGGATCCCTAATGCCTGAATAGGCCTCATGCCTAATAGCACTAACTCAGGTATGGCCGATGTTTGGCCCATTATCTCTCACCATTAGCTATGCAGGGCTAGGGCTGATAGGAGCTACAGTCCATCAGCATCTGTAAGAGCAGCAGTAAATCCATCCCTGTATGAAGCACTGCTCGAGCTGGCTAATGATCCTGTTGGGGTATCTTGTTTATTTCCAAATAGGATGACTGTGAATTAAGCTGCATCTGCATTTTTTTTTGTCCTAAGACCTAACCTCTGTTTTTTAGATGTGCCTGAGGCTCCGACAGATGAGGAAGGTGGGACGGTGATAGCCAGGAAAGTTGGCGAAGCAGTACAGAACACTCTTGGGGCTGTTGTGACTGCCATTGACATCCCATTAGGTAAACGTTGGTGACTGCATCTAGAAAACATTTTAACTTTTCGGCTCAAAGGTTAGATATAGAGTTGGGATTAGTGGAAAAAGCAGCTACAGTGTTCTGAGAGGCATTTGATGTCTCTTCATGGCTGTAGTTGGTGAATGTGCATTGGAACGATTTCTTCCTGGTGCTATTGTGTGTGGCAGGGCTGATTCTTTCCCTCCCAATGCCTGACTCTCTGGAGCATGCTAGCTGGATGAAAGAGACTACATAATAAGCGTTACTTAACATAATTGTGGCCTGTGCAACTAGTGAATCCTGCGGAACACATGATAACAGACACAGCTTGGTTGCAGATGCAGGAGATTTTTTCCCCCAATGTGTTTTTCCCCCCACCAATGATAACATGGCAGTTTCCCTGATTGTTTGGATCTTTCCTGGACATATTGGACAGTTTGCTTTGTAGTGCTTACTCTTGTCCTTGGTCTGTGAGGAAATAGATGAAAGAAAAGTGAGG